CTTTATTTCTCTTTTTTATTTTTTTATTTTTTTTTTTTTTTTTCCTTTTTGAAGCTAACGCGAAAGCCCAAAGCCGAGTTTCGTCGCGAAGGAAACACGTCTCGATCGTGGATCGCACTCTCTCGTGTCAATCATATGCATCTCCCTCCCGCCTAAACTCATTTTTCTGACAGGTGAACCAATTCGCCGAAAGATGGCGATGGTGTAGCGCGTCACGAGCGCCCACCCGGTCAATACCAGAATAACGAAGAAAGGGTCCAGCTTCGGCGGCACGCTAACCTCGATTCGGAGCGCGCGCCACTACTGCAACTCTTTATTACCGCGTTCTTGCTCTCGATCGAGAGAACTCGGTGATCGATACTGCCTATGGCCTTGAACGCAGTAAACTTTTCGACTCGTTTAACAAAGTGTAGGGGAATATAATTAGGTATGTGAGTCAAAAAAATATCGTTTTGTTTTTGTAAGATGAGAAACGGCACGTGCACTCGTTGTATGGTTGAATTGAAATATTTGAATTAATTTCAGAATGATATGAGATTGAATATAAAGGAAAAAACATGTAGTCTTTTCAAGATAAGAATGTTTCAATGTTTTTCCTTAGTAGTGATTGAATTTCTTGTACGATTTGAATTTAAATAACCTATTGCGATAAATATTGAATTATATTCTACAGTCTTTACACAGTATTTTAATGTTTCAACCATTTTTTTTCATCGTACAATTGAAGTATAAATATTTAATGTTTAGTAAATTGTCTCATGGGCAAACCCGGTTTACATTATATGTCACAACATAAATATTAAACAAATAAGCTGAAGCAAGACGAATATTTTTTTGATAACAATAAGTAAATGTAAGAAATAGATTTTATAAATAATTAAAATAAGTTTTCTATTTTGTGATTCTTTGAGAATCAATTAAGATAATTTAACAATAACCATTCTTTTTATCAAAAATCAAAATTTGCTACCAAACAAAATTACATTTACAGAATTTGGTTTCGTTCTATTAATTAGGATTTTTTTTGATATTTTGTGAATAAAATTTTTTCAAAACAATACTTTCTGATTCTATAACTTCAATTAAAATTTCTATTTTAATTGAATCAAAGCTTTTTCTACCAATTTCGATTTTTCTGAGCAAGATAGGTTAGGTCTTGCCACTTACTCGAGTGTAATTACAGATAACCGAAATTAATCTTTGACATTGCGTCAGTCTTTCGAAATTGATGATGGTTGAATAATAATATACGTATAACGATCCATTTATAATTGTATTCCGGTAATCCAATAATGCAATTATAAAATGAACTATGTCGATGCTGATTATATTTTCGAATATGGAACAAAAGGGGAAATCTCTTTTGTACCTCTACATTTAAATCTCACATCGTACGGGTCAATGGTTGCTAATGACAGGTATGATCCGATCACCAATTAATTTCAACCGCGTTATTCGCGCGTGCATTCAAACGGGAGCCTTTCGTTTATGCGTTTTTTGACGAGAATGAAAAAAAAAAAAATAGGAAAAATTAAACGAGGCGTTAACGTTGTTTAATTGCACGACGAAAAAATAGAGAGAAACACGAATCGATGCCTAATCGCGATAACTCGATCCCCGAGGTCGTGCCAAGAAAAATAGGTTTTATAGGTTAGGTTTCCACGAATGCTGCAACCCACTTCGAAACAGATTCCCTAGAAAGCAGAACTAAAGCAATCTCCGTTTATATAATTTTCTACTTAAATCGAATTTTGAAACTCGTGATAGTTAATGCATCTTTGACAGTGAAATAGTATCGATCGATATTTTTTTGATTTATTGCGATCAAAAGGAGATCACAAAGAATCGCATCTGCTAATAATGTTACCAGGAAAATTTATGTAAAAGAAATCGAATTTCGAAAGAATTTCGTAGAAACTGTAACGATAATTATTTCTAAAATTGCAGAATATCCCTTCTCTTTTATCTTCTCAATATATTGCTTTTATAACCTAAATAACGAGAATTGTGAAAATAAGGATACAATTATTAAAATTCTAGTGGAAACTGGAAGTTGTATATCTTCAAGAAAGAAGATATTAAACGATATTTGGAAAAGCGATTCTTAATCAAATTATTATATTAAATATTAAATTAAGATACAATAATTTTTATCATTCATTCTTCAAATACACTGATAGAACAAAAATAGATTCTATGTTACTAACAATCATGCGAAAACCATTTCGTTTACCGTTAAATCGACGACCCGGATCTTCTTATTGGAGACTATCATTTATCTCAGTGATTCTCAATCTTTTCGAAATTACAAAATACTTTTACAAGAAAAATTACGATACATCGTATGTTAAAAATAAGTTCATGAATATATAAAGAGTATAATTTCTATAAAAAAAAATATAAAAATTTCTATGTGAGAAGTACTACAAAAATACTATATGTAAAATAGTTATATTACTATATGTTATTCTTAGATTAGTAAAAAAATAATTTGAATTTGTTCACCAATAATTTGTTTCGTTGTTCAATCTCAAAATATTACTATTTTGAAAAAACACTAGTTGAGAACCACTGGCCCGCACGATAACCCGAAATAAAGAACGAAATTCCCTCATCAATTCTCAACAATTTTATAAAGCATTTATAACAAGATTAATATCAATTCACCAATATTCTCAGGAGCGCAGATTGAGAATCACTGAGCCTACCATTAACACAATCCTTATTCAAATCAAAAATCGACGTAACTTTCCCCTTGACCCAGAAGAATAACAATACTCGTAATATCAACGCAAACGTATTCCAAATAGATTGAGAACCACCATTAACACAATGATCATTACCCAAATGAAAAAAACCCTATCCAAAAATATAATAATTTTCCTCCTAACCCAATAATCTAACCGCAACAACAACGATACTTGTAACAAGTTTCCAAAACAATAATGGTTGAGAGCCACTGGTCTACCCACCCAAAGATCCCGTGACGGAAAAATCATCCGCTGGACCGAGATTCGCGGCTATCGTCCACGGGAT